TGATAAGACTTACTACCACCACTGGTTTGAGGAATTTGCCAAATCGAAAAAATATTCGTGTACAAAAAAAAACGACAATAATCAACAGAAGAACCATATTATTAGATATCGAAAAGCCTACCATGAAGGTAATAATATTCCCCCAAATCAGCTGTTAATCTAATTGAAATGGGGGTGGTAAGACTGGTAATCTTAATGAAATGGGGGTGGTAAGACTGGTAATCTTATTGAAATTGGGGTGGTAAGACTGGTAATCTTATTGAAATGGGGGTGGTAAGACTGGTAATCTTAATGAAATAGGGGTGGTAAGACTGGTAATCTTATTGAAATGGGGGTGGTAAGACTGGTAATCTTATTGAAATGGGGGTGGTAAGACTGGTAATCTTATTGTAATGGGGGTGGTAAGACTGGTAATCTTATTGAAATGGGGGTGGTAAGACTGGTAATCTTATTGTAATGGGGGTGGTAAAACTGGTAATCTTATTGAAATGGGGGTGGTAAGACTGGTAATCTTATTGAAATGGGGGTGGTAAGACTGGTAATCTTATTGTAATGGGGGTGGTAAGACTGGTAATCTTAATGAAATAGGGGTGGTAAGACTGGTAATCTTATTGAAATGGGGGTGGTAAGACTGGTAATCTTATTGAAATGGGGGTGGTAAGACTGGTAATCTTATTGTAATGGGGCATGGTAAGACTGGTAATCTTATTGAAATAGGGTTGGTAAGGCTGGTAATCTAATTGAAATGGGGGTGGTAAGACTGGTAATCTTATCAAAATTGGGGTGGTAAGACTGGTAATCTTATTGAAAAAGGGGTAGTAAGACTGGTAATCTTATTGAAATGGGGGTGGTAAGACTGATAATCTTATTGAAATGGGGGTGGTAAGACTGGTAACTGAGGGACAAAGAAATGAAGAATATTATTATCGTGTGTCGATTATGCGACTTTTAATGAATTACTGCTCAGATAACAGATTGCATCAGTTGCACCGTCAAACATCGGTAATATATTTGAAAGAGAACCACTAAGACAAACGGCAAGGAGAAATCCGCAGTATTTTGAAATTAAGTTTAACAGATTACTTATTACCGATTATAGCCTGCCTAAGATGGGACCACGATAATATTATAATAACAACACGATACGTAATGAAATAAATAAAAGCCTTTCCTATGGGGTCGTTCACATATTACGTAATTTGCCGAGGGGGAAGGGGGTTTGCAAATGATTACGCTAGTGTAATTTTGACAATAGCTATGTGTAAAACTGATTACGGAGGGGGGGGGGGGGGGTAAACATTGTCCAAAAAGTGATAACGTAATACGTGAACGACCCCTTTAGCGTACCTAAGTTACAGGATAAATTTATCGATTTGTTTTTAAGGATACAGTTGTACGAAATTTACTCGATAAACAAAAACTTGACGCTGAAAACGAAATACCAACAAAATACAACAGCTACAGTAAAAATGTGAGTTTAATTCTAACGTAAGTGCAGTAAAAAAATAGCACTGCGATGAAGAATCTAGCAGTCATTCAATATTTTCGATTTTTACTGCCACACTTAGGCTTATCTACACAATTCCCTTCGCAGTGTCTGCTAACAAAATAATTGGATTTATACCGCCTTGATAGTATATAAATATGATTATTAATTTGTAATTCAAAATAAGCAGGAGAGAAGAAATGAGAAAATTTATCTTTAGTGTAATTTTATTTTTATATTCAGTGTGAACGATTAATCATGATCTTTATTGATATTATTTTTAAATATATAAATGTATCGTGATAATCATGATTATCATAATATAATTGTATGTAATATCCTATTGAGGCTCATGCTAACCCATCGCGGGTTTACTACTTACTACTACTGGTTGCTTTTATTTGATGTATACTAAGATCGCAAGTGCAGAGACGCGTGAGGAATAGGTTTAATCTAGAGATATTTAGGTAGGTTATAACTTATAGGTAGGTGGCATATTGTGATGTTATAAGGGCTAACTTATACATTATATTGCATATTGTTATGTACAAAGTGGGAGCAATTCAAACATCAGCATCAAAATTACTTGGTTCAGAAACTTAAAATGACATTATAACCCGTATACACCATGAAGATAACAGAGCCGTACTGCAGAGCCGTACTGCAGAGCCGTACAGAGCCGTACAGAGCCGTACAGAGCCGTACAGAGCCGTACAGCAGAGCCGTACAGAGCCGGGACAGAGCCGTACAGAGCCGTACAGAGCCGTACAGAGCCGTACAGAGCCGTACAGAGCCGTACAGAGCCGGGGCAGAGCCGTACAGAGCCGCACAGCGCCGTACAGCTAAGATGAGAAGTATGTATCATACGTACTTTTATAGAGTCTTATAAGTTCTAGATCATCTAAGAAGAGTTTTAGCGAGAGTTTTACAGCTAGACTGATGAAGTTTGACAGCGGTATCGCCCTGAGAGAACTCGAGCATTACAGGCTAAATGTGGACAGCGAGGGGCTCAATTTATACACCGAAGTGGATTCGTTGCAGAATCTACCAAATCCTATGTTGTATTGGAGATACTATAGCCCACAGAGTTATGAGGTTCTCCATTTGATCGCTAGAAAAGTTTTTAGTTTTCTGACTTCTTCCTCAGTCTGTGAACAAAATTTTAGAGACATGGAGTATATCTACTGCAGTAGAAGACTACGCACTAAGCCTGAGAGATTCAACAAATTGATCTACATCTACTCTAATGCAAAACTGAAACGTTAAAGGCAAGACTATTATCGGCTCGAGAATTGAGCATAAATAGTCGACTTCTATCCAGAAATGGGGGTCAAACACTAAATCTTTAGCGCACTCAAACAAATTCTTGTATGCATTACTTTTATTGCTAACAGACTCAGTAAGGGTTGGATCAATATAAGTCTAAATCAAAGTATCCTTGGAACCCTTCAGTCTCTCCAACATAATAAACTGGGTGGCAAACCGAGTTTCCCCTGAAGGCCTGGCAATGGAAACGCTAGTACTTTGCCGGATAATTGGGCTATGTCCGGCATTTTAATTTCATAATAGCAATTAACGTTCATTATGTTCCGAACGTTAAAATCTTTTAGCGAACGCGTTCACAAACTATTTTTAGTGAACGTTCCGTACGCGGTACGTTCACTACAACTAAGGTTAAAGCTGAAAGTAAATTTGATCTGTTGAAATGATGATGCTAGAAAGTTCATTGTTTTTTGTTTTGATGAAATGATGAAGCTTATTAAACTTTCTTTGTTATCTGCGATTGAGTGTTTCTATTATCTCCATGAATATGGCTTTCAAAACCATCATGACAATGAAATTTCAATCGTGGAAGTCGGGAGTTTCCAATAAATAAAACGTTGGATCTAAAAAAAGTTACATCGCGCCTGTGAAAATAAGTTTGAAAATTTTTTGAATCGTACACTGAGGTATCATACGTACTTTTCAAAAGAAAGTACAAGTACGTACTTTTCGCCCGGTATCATACATACTTCTCATCTTAGCCGTACAGAGCCGGGGCAGAGCCGTACAGAGCCGCACAGAGCCGTACAGAGCCGTACAGAGCCGCACAGAGCCGTACAGAGCCGCACAGAGCCGCACAGAGCCGTACAGAGCCATACAGAGCCGGGGCAGAGCCACCCCTCACCCCTCTCGAATAATGCCGATGGAAAGTGAGCTTCTTCTCCTTGTCAGGGTCCTTTTAAGAAACTGAACTATCTGTTAGTAGCTCCATTCTTTGTTTGCTGTCATCTTCTCTATTTTAAATTTCACAGTAGCTATGAATTACAATCAGAAAACAATATAATATCCATTATCCAAGGGTCAAGTATTCCAGAAAAATATCATATATTAATGAAGAGAAGGAGAATTTAAAGATTTTTGTTTTGAACTTTAACAAATTACCATCCCTGCCTAAGTCTGCTCCAGTCGACACCGTGAACCTCTCCTCAGTTAATATATTTTCATTCTACTGACATATCTTAATTTCATGATGCTCACTAAATCAGCTGAGTTCACTGCTACCCGTTATTTTTCACAATCCAAAGGCTCAAATATCCGTTAGTAGCTCCATTCTTTGTTCGCTGTCATCTTCTATATTTTGAATTTCGGCGTTTCTACGAATTAAAATCTCGAATTAGTATTTGAAAAAGGAAAAAGTCTAGAAAAATATACGGAAAAAACATGATGTTTGGAGAGATGATCCCCACCTGGCGACGGACCACTCCTCAGTTAATATCTTCTGACACGTCTTAATTATTATGCTAGCTTCACTCCTGTGTGTTAGTTATTGTTCACATTTACAACAACATTTCAAGGTAGTCTGGAATAACGCACTACATAATGGTTTGAGTTTTAGGATTTTTCTATAATTATAAGCCAATGTTTTGACATAGGGACAGTGAACATGGAATTGACTGAGATCGGAAATACATAGCTATTTGAAATGAAATGAAATGAGGTATTTATATCCCGCTCATATGATTAACCAACAACACAAGGAAGGTGGTTAACCATGTCAGAGCGGCTGACTGTGAGTGATGTGAGGAATTTACCGTGACACTTGACAGACGTGACATTTTTCCACTTTTAAAAGTTCAAACGAAAGTACTGACGACCGGGATGTTTTTACGGGTGATAGCAAATTTTAGACTTTGTGGCTATCTGGACTGGCCAAGCTAATTTCTGCCGATCCATTTCTTGCATCATAATAATATGTAATTCATACGTTTTCCAAACTATAAGAAAAAACAATTAAATTAAGTTTGTGTCGGGACAAAAATTATATTTCGTTGTCGATCATCTCCTCATCGCCAGTATTTTGGAAAGATTATCAGTTCTGAAATTATATACAATTACATCAGTTAGGAAATAATTATCGTCCCAAAATACTGAAACTGGTGGTACAATTTTTTGCGGTTCTCTAAATTAGTCACCATGCCTTTTTTCTGTAAATCTTGTCTCAATTGTTTTATAATGAGTTTCTCCCTTACAGCTGCACCGCTACGTTATGGAGACTCTAAAGATCCTCTACACTAATAATCAGTTCGAGAAACTCGCCTACATTGGCACCAGATTCAACCAGCTCACCAAGTCAGTATTTTGTTTCATAGACTAATTGGGTGAATAACTGTGGCCTCTATAATATATGACCACAATACGATATTAATACAATATGGTATTAATGACATGGTTCAGTTTGTGACTCAAGAGCAGCCCTTATACTCCAGTTGCTACTGGATATGATTAAATAGGTCATTGGTAACTCAAATCACAGAGGGCCGTATGTTGTGTCGCTAGTCCCAACCCTGTGGATCCACGCCCATATTTCATATCAGGTGCGTATATATGGGAAATTTGTATCTCAGCTTCTGAAGGTCTTAGAGACTCATAGTTGAGTTTAAAATGACCGCAATGCACATGTTTATATTGGCATCATGAAAGCCCAAAATGATTATTTTTGGACAAAATTCAGAAAAACTGATTCTCACTTGGGCGCGAGTAAAACTAAAAAAATCTACTAGAGAAATTAAGTGTAATTGGATATGAAGTTCAGTGTCTAGTGTCTACAACGTTTATAAACACAGGATCCTTTGTAGGGTCATTCTGCATCAGAATTGATTAAGGTACGCAAATTCTATTAGTAGTTTCAACCCTGACTGATGACCTTAAGTTTTGGAGTGGAATTTTGAGTTAGTCCTTTAAATTTGCCGGGCATTTTTTAGAATTTGCCCGCCAAAAGAACTAAACTTGGGAACTAAACCCCCTCCCCCTCCGCTGATTACGTAATATGTGAACGACCCCTAAATACAAAATATCAACAAAATAAAATACTAATTGATGCAATTTCGGATTGCACAGAAACTGGCTTACCGCACATGTACTCTATGTAAAGAAAAAAATGCTCTTTTTATTGTCAAAGATTACAAATCTGAGTCAGGTGTGTTCATAACCAGGTTTGTCAGCTGCAAATAATTTGCTACATACGTAGACCTTTAATCTTTTAATTGTGCGAGAGTTCACGAAATATACTACTTGTTACTGTATTAGTATATTTGTGATGGCTACAAAATCAAATATATTATAAATCAAGAGGCTTGCATATAATGAACATATTGACACGGGTGCAGAGTTGAGTCTGTACGGAACCTAGTAGTTTCAGATCCTTGTTTAACTTGCCGTACAGCAAGGTCATCCACTACTTTAGCCCGGCGAGGCACATAACTCCCTCTACAACTCCATGACAAATGTTTCATATATACTAGCCGAGTTCACAAGTTATATCCTTGTGTTTGAGAAGAGCTCGTTAGAACTGCTTCTTTCCCTTCAGTATCCCACAGTCTCTCGAGTTTCGTAACTGCCAGAAAACTCTCTTAAACAATTACTAGACTCGGTGATTATAAATCAAGAGGCTTGCATATAATGAACATATTGACACGGGTGCAGAGTTGAGTCTGTACGGAACCTAGTAGTTTCAGATCCTTGTTTAACTTGCCGTACAGCAAGGTCATCCACTACTTTAGCCCGGCGAGGCACATAACTCCCTCTACAACTCCATGACAAATGTTTCATATATACTAGCCGAGTTCACAAGTTATATCCTTGTGTTTGAGAAGAGCTCGTTAGAACTGCTTCTTTCCCTTCAGTATCCCACAGTCTCTCGAGTTTCGTAACTGCCAGAAAACTCTCTTAAACAATTACTAGACTCGGTGATTATAAATCAAGAGGCTTGCATATAATGAACATATTGACACGGGTGCAGAGTTGAGTCTGTACGGAACCTAGTAGTTTCAGATCCTTGTTTAACTTGCCGTACAGCAAGGTCATCCACTACTTTAGCCCGGCGAGGCACATAACTCCCTCTACAACTCCATGACAAATGTTTCATATATACTAGCCGAGTTCACAAGTTATATCCTTGTGTTTGAGAAGAGCTCGTTAGAACTGCTTCTTTTCCCTTCAGTATCCCACAGTCTCTCGAGTTTCGTAACTGCCAGAAAACTCTCTTAAACAATTACTAGACTCGGTGATTATAAATCAAGAGGCTTGCATATAATGAACATATTATGGCACTAATGCCTATTCTGCTGTTAGGAGAGAAATCATTGAATCGATTTAATGATCAAATTTAAAAGGTAATTTGAGCAGGTGCTTGTTTACTGGGCTAATCTTAGCCAGGGATCCCCAGGTAATTCTTCTTCTAACAATTATAGCAATTAAATACAGGTGGTTCTGCCAACTACATCCCTTATAGAAACTTAATAGTCAACCTCATGCAGTAGAAAAGTAGAAATAGAATGGCCTCTAATAAGAATTTCGCAATATCGACCATGACGTCACGCTCTGAACAGGTTCCTAGTGACGATTTCTTTTTTCTCGAAAGCACGTGCAGTAAAACTCCAATTTACTATTTTCTTTTCCCGCAAACTGTACTGTGAATCGGATTTTTAGTGTTACGTAGGACATTAAAAACGGTTTGTGTGGGGCATGATAGATTTTTGAGCTTTTAAGTTGTCAGAAAAAAAAATGTAACAAATAGTAACATCAAACATGTACTTAATTATGGTATCTCGGGCTAAAAAAGTCTTAGAGTCATTTGCAGCACAGTAAAACGTTCAACATGTACACATTCGGATAACATTTATGGAGCAGCACATACCACCTAACTTCAATTTTGGTATAACTGCGAAAGTACTCAGTTTCAGAAGCTCCTTCCAGCTATCTTAGGCTGCCTTCAGCTCCCTCTCTGGAAGTACTGCTTGGCTATTATGGCTAATCAACTCAAATCCAACCTCATGTAGCAGAATCTACTTCTGGCTACCTTCTGCTAACTCCATGCCAACTCTACCCAGCTACCACCAGTACGTTATAATTTTGCATCTTTCTAGCAACCTCTGATATGAGTGCTACCTCCCGGCTGCATCCAACAATTTCCAGCTCATAGGAAACTTGCTGTTTCTAGCAACCTCTAAACGCCAGAATAAAATGTTACTGATGGTTGCTAGACAGGGCAAGAAGTAGCCCACTAGCCTAAGCTAAGGTTGCTAGAACGAGCAGAAGTTGGAGGAACTTTGGTGGTAGCTAATAAGCTAAATAGAGGTAGCCAAAGTAGGTGAAAACAGCTGGAATTGGTGTTTTCTGCATCTGGTGGTAGCTGGATAGAGCAGGAGGTAGCATTCATATCAGAGGTTGCTAGAAAGATCTAAAATTATAACATATTGTAGCTGGGTAGAGTTAGCATGGACTCAATGGAGTTAGCAGAAGGTAGCCAGAAGTAGATTCTGCTACATGAGGTTGGATTCGATTGATTAGCCATAATAGCCAAGCAGTACTCCCAGAGAGGGAGCGGAAAGCAAATTCGAAAAAATTCTTTTAAAAAATTCTTTAAAAAATTCTAAAAGATTCCCGGCAAATTTAAAGGACTAACTCAAAATTCCACTCCAAAACTTAAGGTCATCAGGCAATTCTATGTTGATTCTGAAAATTTCATGAACGAATATTGAGGGGGGGGGGGGGGGGGGGGGGGGTAGGTCTTGATTACGTTTGATTACGTTTGATTACGGATGGGGGGAGGGGGTAAAATTGCCGAGATAGAAAAGTCATATTTGCGCCTGGGGGTAATTTAGAAGTTTTGCACCCTAGGGTTGAAACTACTAATAGAATTTGCGTACCTTAATCAATTCTGATGCAGAATGACCCTACAAAGGATCCTGTGTTTATAAACGTTGTAGACACTAGACACTGAACTTCATATCCAATTACACTTAATTTCTATAGTAGATTTTTTTAGTTTTACTCGCGCCCAAGTAAAGTGAGAATCAGTTTTTCTAAATTTTGTCCAAAAATAATCATTTTGGGCTTTCATGGCTTTTACAGTGCCAATATAAACATGTGCATTGCGGTCATTTTAAACTCAACTATGAGTCTCTAAGACCTTCAGAAGCTGAGATACAAATTTCCCATATATACGCACCTGATATGAAATATGGGCGTGGCTCCACAGGATTGGGACTAGCGACACAACATGCGGCCCTCGGTGATTTGAGTTACCAATGACCTATTTAACCATATCCAGTAGCAAAAAACTCTATACATCGAAGTGTACACTCAACTCCCCCCTGCTACTGGAGTATTAGTTGGTGGGGGTTGTTAAGTCATGTTATTTATGCTTGAACCAGTAGACTAGTAGTTATAATGAACTGTCTGACCCCCCCCCCCCAGTAGGTACCAATTGTTTGGTGCTTACTATGTGACCCCCCCCCCCCCCCCCAGTAGGTACCAATTGTTTGGTGCTAACTAAGTAACCCCCCCCCCCCCCCCCCCAGTAGGTACCAATTGTTTGGTGCTAACTATGTGACCCCCCCCCCCCCCCAATAGGTACCCAATTGTTTGGTGCTAACTAAGTAACCCCCCCCCCCCCCCTAGTAGGTACAAATTGTTTGGTGCTAACTATGTGACCCCCCCCCCCCCCCCAGTAGGTACCAATTGTTTGGTGCTAACTATGTGACCCCCCCCCCCCCCCAGTAGGTACCAATTGTTTGGTGCTAACTAAGTAACCCCCCCCCCCCTAGTAGGTACAAATTGTTTGGTGCTAACTATGTGACCCCCCCCCCCCAGTAGGTACCAATTGTTTGGTGCTAACTATGTGACCCCCCCCCCCCCCCCCCCCCCTCAGTGATGTGTTCGGAGAACAGACCTACCCTCTGATAATCTACAGCAAGAGAAAGTTAGTGGACAGAGTAGCGGAGTACAACGAACCGTGGCACACGGAGACCAGTAGTGTCAGTATTCGCAGTACTGTCACTCCTGTTCAAGGTATGTGGCTGTGTGTGGCTGTGTGTCCGTCCCTTTGTAAAGTTGTAATTAGCAGTTATACTAAATCTGTTCAGATTTTTTTTTACATATGCAACCTACTAAAACCAATGGGGCCCTCCCCGGGGTCATTTTTTAATTATTTTAAAAAAACTATTAAAAGTAACATAGAAAATAGATCCCGTAGACTGATGATAACTTTTAACTACTAATCAGAGCTATTTAAACCTGGTTTCAATAATGTTTTGAAGCACATGGGCTGGGATAAACTCAAGCTACAAAATAATACCTACTCCCCTTTCAGCTGCGCACGAGAACATATCACCCCAAATAGTTGAAGCACTGCGTCTGTGCTCCGTCCCCCTGGATCTGGAGGTGGACCAGGAAGCACTAGCTAGCGTGCTAAGTGTCCGCTCCCACACTGCACTCTCCTTACAGTACTGCAGACAACTCCTCCTCTGCTATCTCGCCGGATACGGCAAGGGTTAGTTTTATGGTTTTTGTTGATATTTCTCAAGGCGAGGGTTATTTTTTCCCCTTACATATAACACGTGTTCCCCACATAACACGTGTTCCGCACATGACGTCATAACACGTGTTCCCCAGGTAACCTAAAGCCGAGTAGCTCCCCACATAACACGTGTTCCCCAGGTAACCTAAAGCCGAGTAGCTCCCCACATAACACGTGTTCCCCAGGTAACCTAAAGCCGAGTAGCTCCCCACATAACACGTGTTCCCCAGGTAACCTAAAGCCGAGTAGCTCCCCACATCACACGTGTTCCCCAGGTAACCTAAAGCCGAGTAGCTCCCCACATAACACGTGTTCTCCAGGTAACTTAAAGCCGAGTAGCTCCCCACATCACACGTGTTCCCCAGGTAACCTAAAGCCGAGTAGCTCCCCGGTCTCCTCCTTCCACCCCGGTACAGCAGGAGCCAGTAAACTTTACGATAAACCTGGAGACTTGTTCGTTTCACCTCTCTCTACCTCCTCCTACGGGATCATAGTGTCTACTTACGAGAAAACTATAGGTTTGTTATTGGCTGAACATTAGTATAGTGATTGGGACTCTAGATGAAATAAATTGGTTAATTATTGACTTATTAGTCATTGTATGTTATTTATTTAAACAACATTCTTTCACAACAATCTAAAGCTCGCGTCACGGTATGTTTCCTATCTAATTACTATAAATGATCCCAGAAATGCTGCAAGTAAAGGGAAAGACTGATTTAGCAGTTCAGGCGATGCACGAGCTAGGAAATGTTCTCTTCCACTCTGGGAATACTAAGTTAGTTATATCTAATTTATTCGTTACCTATAAATTATATACTCGGATTCAGGCGAGAAAATATGGCATCTATACCTCTTCATAATGTCGAACATAATCTTTCAAATTTCACCAGAACAATAATAATTAGTATTATTGAAAATCAGCACTTCACTTACACTGTATATCAACACTTTCACTTTCACTATTACAGGGGAGCGTTCAAATGGTGGTGTGACGCACTGGACACACTGCTCCACATGACCAACTCCATGCAGAACTGGCACAGCTTCACTCCTGAAACACTTCTCAACAAGTGCCAGATATGGGGCTGTTTGCTCGGCGCCTGTATCGCTTCTAATATTTCCCAGTGAGTTTAAAAACAGTTAGTTAGCCAGTACACTAATTTGTTTTGGCAACATATTGTTATTTGAGAGTCCTGATAAGCATGTGGTAAAGATGATGGTTATTCCCCATTATCTGTTTCTGCTTCTTCCAGTTCTCTTGATATTTGAAAAAACGGATAGCAGAATGATTGATTACTACTTGATTTAAAATGTATTATCAACTAACAAATGGCTAATTAAGAATTATGATGATAACGTCGCACTGACCCTGATGACGTCACACTACCCCCTGATGACGTCACACTACCCCCTGATGACGTCACACTACCCCCTGATGACGTCACACTACCCCCTGATGACGTCACAATGCCCCCTGATGACGTCACAATGTCCCCTGATGACGTCACAATGCCCCTGATGACATCACAATGCCCCCTGATGACGTCACAATGCCCCCCTGATGACGTCAAACTGCCCCCTGATGACGTCACACTGCCCCATGATGACGTCACACTGCCCCCTGATGACGTCACAATGCCCCCTGATGACGTCACACTGCCCCCCTGATGACGTCACACTGCCCCCCTGATGACGTCACACTGCCCCCTGATGACGTCACAATGCCCCTGATGACGTCACAATGCCCCCCTGATGACGTCACAATGCCCCCTGATGACGTCACACTACCCCCTGATGATGTCACAATGCCCCCTGATGACGTCACAATGCCCCCTGATGACGTCACACTGCCCCCTGATGATGTCACAATGCCCCCTGATGACGTCACAATGCCCCCTGATGATGTCACAAAGCCCCCTGATGACGTCACACTGCCCCCTGATGAACGTCACACTGCCCCTGATGACGTCACAATGCCCCCCTGATGACGTCACAATTCCCCCTGATGACGTCACACTGCCCCCTGATGACGTCACAATGCCCCCTGATGACGTCACAATGCCCCCTGATGACGTCACAATGCCCCCTGATGACGTCACACCGCCCCCTGATGACGTCACACCGCCCCCTGATGACGTCACAATGCCCCCTGATGACGTCACACTGCCCCCTGATGACGTCACAATGCCCCCTGATGACGTCACAATGCCCCCTGATGACGTCACAATGCCCCCTGATGACGTCACAATGCCCCCTGATGATGTCACAATGCCCCCTGATGACGTCACAATGCCCCCTGATGGACGTCACACTGCCCCCTGATGATGTCACAATGCCCCTGATGACGTCACAATGCCCCCCTGATGATGTCACAAAGCCCCCTGATGACGTCACACTGCCCCCTGATGACGTCACAATGCCCCCTGATGACGTCACAATTCCCCCTGATGACGTCACACTGCCCCCTGATGACGTCACAATGCCCCCTGATGACGTCACACTGCCCCCTGATGACGTCACACTGCCCCCTGATGACGTCACAATGCCCCCTGATGACGTCACAATGCCCCTGATGACGTCACACCGCCCCTGATGACGTCACAATGCCCCCTGATGACGTCACAATGCCCCCTGATGACGTCACAATGCCCCCTGATGATGTCACAATGCCCCCTGATGACGTCACAATGCCCCCTGATGACGTCACACTGCCCCCTGATGATGTCACAATGCCCCCTGATGACGTCACAATGCCCCTGATGATGTCACAATGCCCCCTGATGATGTCACAATGCCCCCTGATGACGTCACAATGCCCCCTGATGACGTCACACTGCCCCCTGATGACGTCACAATGCCCCTGATGACGTCACAATTCCCCCTGATGACGTCACACTGCCCCCTGATGGACGTCACAATGCCCCCTGATGACGTCAACACCGCCCCCTGATGACGTCACAATGCCCCCTGATGACGTCACAATGCCCCCTGATGACGTCACAATGCCCCCTGATGACGTCACACTGCCCCCTGATGACGTCACAACTGCCCCCTGATGACGTCACACTGCCCTCCCAACAGGTATATAGTGAGCCACAGTGTAGATGACAAAGTAGACGCGTGTCTCCTTAGTGCCCAGCTATTTAAAGCTCTGTTCCATGCATCCCTGCCTCACCCTGCATCTGACTACCAATATGTTAACCACGAAATAGGTCAGTTAAGAAATATGTCTAGGCAACATGTCTAGTTTTAAACCGTTGCTTTCTGAAAATACAAGAATTTTAAGTAAGCTGGATATTTTAAATAATCTGAACTGTGTATGAATTCTAAAGTAACCCTTTTTTCGCGGAGCAAAAATGTGTTTTTCCTTCACACTTTCACAGAATGACAACAGTATTTAATTAATTAATTAATTAATTAATTAATTAATTAATTAATTATTAATTACAGGAGAAGGTTTCAACATCCCCGCCCTGATCCCCGGAGTAGATCTGCTATCTGACCAGTTCAGATGCAGCGCTAGTGTGCTTGTTGGGTCTCTACACTACGTGTCCGAGACTCTTGTTAGACACCAGTTCGCTAGTCAGGTTACCATAGTTACACTACTAGTTACCATAGTTACACTACTAGTTACCATAGTTACACTACTAGTTACCATAGTTACACTACTAGTTACCATAGTTACACTACTAGTTACCATAGTTACACTACTAGTTACCATAGTTACACTTCTAGTTACCATAGTTACACTACTAGTTACCATAGTTACACTACTAGTTACCATAGTTACACTACTAGTTACCATAGTTACACTACTAGTTACCATAGTTACACTACTAGTTACCATAGTTACACTACTAGTTACCATAGTTACACTTCTAGTGACCATAGTTACACTTCTAGTGACCATAGTTACACTTCTAGTTACCATAGTTACACAGTTTACAGAATAGCTAGTGAGGTTTACTCATAGTTTAATTAGTTAGTTATTTAAGTTGCTAATTTCATGGCTAATTATTCAGTAAGATTAATAAGATTTTAACTTTGTAACGGTTTATTATTTCAGGCTCTACCAGTACTGACACTATATCACTACGTTGCCATGTCTCTTCTATCCGACACCAAACATCTCATTCTTGCTAGAATACTCAAGGTTGGTCATTTTATCGTTTATAACCTGATCATTTTCTCGCTGTTTAATGAGCCTGCTCGTCACGAAATTTAGTATTTATTATAAATAATATTGATATAATTTAGATATTTGCTTTATAAAGTTGACAGAAACAAGTTGACTGATAAGCTACTACCCCTGTACAGGTTGAAGCACTGACACAGTTGTCCATGTTAACAGATGCTCTACAATTGTGGAGTCTGGTATCTCAAACTGAGGCGATGCCCACCCCTCCTACTTCTCATGGCAATAACATTTCCAACAAAACTGTGAGTAGTTATTTGTTATTAATTAATTAATTAATTGATCATTTGTAATGATTATACAACTTTCTCTCGCTGATTGCACATTATTCGGCTTTTCCTTTGTGGCTTACTCTTTGAACAGGCTGAACAGCACCGTTTAGGTACTTAAACCGGAAAAGCTTCTTTTCTATTCCTCGCTACTTAATTCCATTTACTCTCATGTAATCATTTTCTTGTTTCGAAGAATCTCAGTTATTTCAGTTATTTTTTGGTTCTTTCAAAAAATGTTTATTAGTTGAGTTTGCAGGAGAATTATGTACCAGTAACAGCTGTATCCCTATGGGTGGGTCACACATCTCACTTGTTCGTATAGTGTAACTCCTGTAACTAGTGTAACTAGTGTAACTCCTGTAACTAAAACATTTAGATCTGGTGGGGGAGTCTGTATTGACACGCGTTATTCTGTGTCACGTGTCGTCGTGACACGTGTTACTCTGTGTCACGTGTTATTCTGTGTCACGTGTCGTCGTGACACGTGTTATTCTGTGTCACGTGTCGTCGTGACACGTGTTATTCTGTGTCACGTGTCGTCGTGTCACGTGTTGATGCAAATATGGCTCCCCACCAGTATCTAGATTTATTTAGCAGTATATTATTGAAGTTTGTTTAATGAAAAGTGAAAAACTTGTGACGTTGGCATGGTTTAAGTCGATTGTTATGTTCGGGCATTTCCCTGTGTAACTAAACCATTAAGCTTTATGTTTTACTGCATACGTGATCATTTAAGAGCTCCAATATTATACCAAGGAGCAAGGAGTATGAACAATCGAGGGAGCAAGTGAGATCTAGATGGTAATTTCCTAACTTAAAGTGCAAATTTCGGAGGGAAATGAAATAAAGTTAAGAAATTACCATTATTTTCACTTAGTTAGCTCTTTATCTGAATATTAGACAATGGTTAGTGTTGTACAGAATAAAAAGTGAAAACTTGTGAATTTGATGTTTATCAAATTGAGTAACATGTGAGTTGTGATGTTATGTAAACTTTAAAATGAATAACTTATGACGGTGGCATGGTTTGCGCCAATAATAATCTCTCGGTGAAGCATTGAAAGTTATATTTATAAGTTAACTGAATGATTATAAAAGTCATCCTCAGTTCTCAGAGTTATAAAACCAAATATCTCGCAGAATGTTCCAGAGTACAACATAACAGAACCACTAAACAGTACCCAGAACATACAAGCTGTAGAACACGCTATAAAGTGCAAAATCCCACCAATCCCTCAGCCCCCCTTCACTACTAACCTATCAGCACTTGCGCAGCTGGCGCACGCGGGGTTGATGCTGGCTATTGCGCAGCGGTCCTCTGTTGTGCCTATGTACAGTGAGGGCAGTGAGAGTCAAAGTAAGAATGTCTCCTGGAATATAAACAAATTCACTGACCATTGTACTGAACTGACCATGTACCGACCATGTATTTTTAATTCCCTGCTATCCCTTCAAATAATGATTACTCCTACAGCTACAGAATCTGCCATCAAGTACAAACTGTGTAATTCATCTGAAGTTATACTCATGCACCTCTCCAAATGTGCTGATAAAGGTAATTATTACCATAGTTACACTACTAGTTACCATAGTTACACTACTAGTTACCATCTCTCCAAATGTGCTGATAAAGGTAATTCAGTATGCCCTATTTTATTACCATAGTTACACTACTAGTTACCATAGTTACACTACTAGTTACCATCTCTCCAAATGTGCTGATAAAGGTAATTCAGTATGCCCTATTTTATTACCATAGTTACACTACTAGTTACCATAGTTACACTACTAGTTACCATAGTTACACTACTAGTTACCATAGTTACACTACTAGTTACCATCTCTCCAAATGTGCTGATAAAGGTAATTCAGTATGCCATATTTTTAAAGTTTGAACTGAACCCCCTTGACTAAACAGCTCTACACTTCTGAAAATGTCCTCAACTTCTTTTTGAGTATTAAATTTCTCCCTTCAGAAGACGTCCACTACTGTGAAATTTTTATTTTTATTTTTTTCATAATTTTTAATTTTCATATTCACGTATATTAAATAAAATTATATTGTTATGTATCATATGATTTTGTAAACATTGGCCGGTGTACCAAAAACCGGTCCCAAACAAACAACCCTTCAGAAGATGCCCACTACTGTGAAATAGAGATAGGGGTGAGTTCCCGTAGGTTGCTGTGCACTATCGCACTGGAGAAGCAGCTGGGGGCTACCATAGTTAACCTCAGTAACTACGGGCTCTCACTTCTCCAGCGCTCTTATCAGCTTGACAGGTTTTTATCTTACATTTAATACTGCTACTATTTCTATCTTACATTTCTTACATTTCTGTAATTCAATAGTTTGTTTTTAGAGATAGATACATCTTAGTTTTCGGTGATTAATGATTGTGATGACGGAGTTTAAAACATTGTATTGTGAACTTATTTTCTACATGCTTCTGTTGCACTTAATTTGACATTGAAACAATCTTCACACAATCCTGGTTTGTCAACCTTGCGATCCTACTATAACATTATATTATTAGACAAGAGGTAGTTTCCTACGATGAGATGTGTAGTAAGAGGCGGCTGGACAGTCTGGCCTGGCTACAGTTAAAATGTGCTATGATCCAAGGGTTTGGGCTCATGACCACCATGTACGGTAAGTCATCCACTTACAAGGTCCCAATGCAACTTGGACCTTGATTTTTTTTCAGTTTCAACTTCAGAAATCGTCGCTTGTCTTGCAAGTGTTTTTATGGCAGTGGTGCATCGTCTTCTCTTATCATTTCATGAACCTACAAATTTCTAGGTGCGAATGATTGCAAGCAAATATGTGCCGCCACGAAAGAGGAATCTCAGCTATTCAATTCGAGTGAAATGCAAGCCTGGATATCACTGAAAGACCTTGTCTTGGATATCAACGCCAGCAACACTTTCCAAGTTGAGGTGGGCGTCTAATTTCCATCTAAAAAACTTGATAACGTTCGAAACATTCCTTTGATAAATTCAAATATTCACGTACATAGTCATTCAACCATTATATTCATTATGCATCGCGAAGCTGTCCAGCTCGCACAGTGGCGGCTTATTTAGCAGAATTGACAACGCGGGAGGTCTACTGCGCGGCTCAGTTGGCATGGTAACACTAATCAAATGTTATGAAGAACAAATTTATTTTCGCGCGTTTTGTCCACATGTTAATTTCACGGCTGTTATTTAATAAATAAATATTTATTAATTATTCTATAAAAAAGGCGTGCCTGAATAAATGCGTTCACCCTGATTTTTTTGTGAACCTTAATTTCAAGATAGCAGTTTTTAAATGTTTAGGATCAAGATAAGAAGAATTGCTACTTGTTAGTTGTTTGGTAAATCATCTTCATCACTATTTTTAGTTTCAGATACAGCCTCTCTTATGCTCATGCCACTTTTCAGCGTCAGATAAAAGAAGGTCTCTCCAGGATGGTGGCCCCATCCTGTCTGGGTGCCAGTGTTAGTGTTGGTACTATCCTGTACTGTGCTTCTAGAGCTACTAACAAGGAGGACTCACTATCCAGGTCAGCAACTGAATGATACTTTTTAGCGATATTTCAGGTTTAAATGTTTGTAACAAATTGTACTGTGTTTAATTAGCATAAATAAGCCACGGTATGTGCAAATTTTAAAATCCTCTCCGTCACTTCGGCCTTCGTATCAAGAAAATGTAAGTTATTTTCAGTTGTACCTACTAAATGTTAATATTTGATATCTATGTTAATATTATCGTTTACTTATACTTTGCTTTTTTTACGGAGCGAATCTGCAAAGTCCAGGTAATTGCTAGATCCCCTCTTGCGCCAACTATCACG